GTTACGTTGCTGGACTCCCACATAGTCGACTGCAGTTCACGTTCCAGACCCGGAGGCTTTAAAATCATGCTCGGCACATATGTGTGTATGTCCAAGATCCTAGAAGGAAAATAGAGGAGAAAGGATTGCGATGTGGCTATCCCCCTGGGGGGTGATTTCTCGCTCTCTCTCTCACTGTGTCTCTTTTTTTCTCTCTCTGTCTCTCTCTCTTTTTTTTTCTCTTTCTCTCTCTGTTTTTCTGTTCAGCAAGCCCACGTGCCCTAAGGCAAAAGCCTCTTTAAAAAAAAAAATTGGGGGCTGGCAGGTGACATGGTAGTTAAGGGTGCTGGACTCCCACATGGCCTACTGCAGTCTGGGTCCTGGACCTGGCAACCTTCTTTCTCACTTTCCCTCCCTCTCTCCCTCTCTTTGTCCCTCTCTAGTCAAATTAAAAATAAATAAATGAATAAAGTTAAACAAACTAATTCTTTTTTTCTAAGAAGCATTTTATCTTAGTATTAAACAATAACTGTTGCTACCTTAGAAGAGTGAGAAGTTTGGGGAGGTTTTGGGTGTGGTTTGGTTTTGGCATATGGAGCCCACTTTTTTTTATTAGAAAGTTGGTAATTATCCTCTGTGACGGTGGTTTTACTTAGCAAGCTCACATACCCCTGCATCCGTAACTGCCACTTTCATAGATTCTGCCCTGAGGGCCCTCTTCAGTTCCGCTTTGACACTAGAAAGGAGTGGAAACAAGAACTGTTCCCCAAGTCTACCAGAAATGCCCTTTGTGTGATCCCTGTGTGTTTTCTTGATTATCATTGAGCATAGTGACCAGCACAGGGCACACCCATGAAGAACACAGGACTACGGCAGCAGTTAACAGATAACACATCTAAAGTCTCTAGTGGGTTTCACAAGCAAAGCTGTCTCAACAAATTAGAAATTCGGCAAAAAGTTAAAAGTCTTATTTATTTGCAAAAGGAAAGGATAGTTTATTAAATAAAAGTGAAAGTACACTCCTGAGGGGTTAGAAGCTGCCAAGTATGGGCGAAAAAGAGTGGCTCGGAGGTCCCGGCAGTTACACTCTGTGAGGTTCATAATTTTAGAGTCTGTAATAGGTAGTGTCGCTTGATCACTGGCTGGGCCCATTGATTAGCTTTATCTCACTGGCTCTATCAGATGTGACCGGGCCCACTGAGGTGTCTCAGTGGCTCCATCAGATGTAACTGGGCCCACTGATTTATCTCACTGGCTCTATCAGATGTGACCGGGCCCACTGAGGTGTCTCAGTGGCTCCATCAGATGTAACTGGGCCCACTGATTTATCTCACTGGCTCTATCAGATGTGACCGGGCCCACTGAGGTGTCTCAGTGGCTCCATCAGATGTAACTGGGCCCACTGATTTATCTCACTGGCTCTATCAGATGTGACCGGGCCCACTGAGGTGTCTCAGTGGCTCCATCAGATGTAACTGGGCCCACTGATTTATCTCACTGGCTCTATCAGATGTGACCGGGCCCACTGAGGTGTCTCAGTGGCTCCATCAGATGTAACTGGGCCCACTGATTTATCTCACTGGCTCTATCAGATGTGACCGGGCCCACTGAGGTGTCTCAGTGGCTCCATCAGATGTAACTGGGCCCACTGATTTATCTCACTGGCTCTATCAGATGTGACCGGGCCCACTGAGGTGTCTCAGTGGCTCCATCAGATGTAACTGGGCCCACTGATTTATCTCACTGGCTCTATCAGATGTGACCGGGCCCACTGAGGTGTCTCAGTGGCTCCATCAGATGTAACTGGGCCCACTGATTTATCTCACTGGCTCTATCAAATGTGACTGGGCCCACTGATTTATTTCAGTGGCTCTATCAAATTTGGTTTAATCAGCTAGACATCCCTCACTAAAAATCTCCTACCTACATTACCTTGGGAATTTTGGGGTGGGGAATTTTCTGCCTTCATTGGTTTTCTATCTGGTCACATAGACAGATTCTCCAGTCGCTTTACCAACTTCCATTTGCTAACTTTCTCCTGCCTCATTGTCCCCAGAGAGGCAAGATTCCTATAAATGTTTTTGATGAGTTGAAGGTAGGTGGTCTGTCTTCTGCTGGAAGGAGTAATTGGTCCTACCTATCAGGGATTGCTGAACACTGGCCTAGTGTGATCTAGGTGTGAGAGTGGGGCCAAGGGCAGGTCATTGAGATCCCCAAAGCGAGTCACTGGGAGGGCTGTTATTGGTGCTGGGATGACTGGCAGTAGGATGCAGTGGAGGCCCCGAGGGATTGATATTCGTGTTGTATGGTCATTTGCAATTTTTTTTGGAGAGGTTTTCGCTATAGGGCACGTGTGCTCGCCAGACAGACAGAGACATAGAGACAGAAAGCGAGAAATCAACCCCCAGTGGGGATGGCCACGCCACAATCCCTTCTCCTCCATTCTCCTTGGGATCTTGAGCACGCACGCACACGTGCCCGGCGTGAATTTTAAGCCACCAGGTCCGGGATGCGAACCGCGGTCTACTACGTGGGAGTCCAGCGACATAGCCATTATGCTAACTGCTGGTTCCCGGGTCATTTGCAATTTTATAGCCTAGTTTCTTCAGGTATTCCAACAAGGGCAGATGAGTCTTCACTATGGGATTAAGTAACCTAGCGACTCCTGGCTGGCTCACCACAGTATGTGTTGGAGGATGGCTTCTACAATATCCAGGTTCTTAGCGTTTTGGACAAAAGATTGAATGAAACACACCAATAGCAAAACAAAAATTTTATTAAGTAAAAGTGAAAGTACACTCCAAAAAGGTAGGAGCGGACCAAGTGTGAAAAAGAGTGGCTCACAGCACGACAAGTTTTTAAAATGAAAAACAAAAAACACACCATTTTCTCAGGGCGAACCATCATGCCAGCGAGTCCTTCATTTAACAGTCAAGCCAAGGTCTCCTGTGCAATAATGAGTCACTGACTGTGCTTTAAACTGGGCAAGACTGTGAAACTGCAGGCTTTTAAGGGTGCGGGCCCAAGCAATATAGACACTCCTTTCTCCATCAGAGTTCTAAAGCAATACAAACACAGAGAAAAAGTATGAGAACTGGGGGGACCCTCTATAAATTAATAGATGCTTGAGGAGCATATCGGTCTATTGCAATGCATGTAATATTTTAGTATTTTGATTCAAACAAACTATTACAAGGTTTCTTGAGGCACAAGAAAATTTGAAACTGATAGTCAATGCTATTGAGAAGTTACTATAAATCATAATTATACTTTTTACATATACTAACCTTTAGAGGTACATATTATAATATTTACAGATAAAATGACATCTAGGTTTAAAATGTTGGCCGGAAGGGAATTGGTTGAGCATATAGATACGTAATATTGGCCACAAGTTAGTAATAGTTGAGGCTTCATGATGGATTTGGGATATATTACTTTTCTCATGTTTTATATGTTTGAAGTATTTTTATGAATTATTTTTTTTTTAGTAAGGAACAAAATATCACCTTTTTACTGGTAAAGGTGAGTTTGGAGATAGTGACTTAAGTATGTCACTTATAGGCTGCCTGCTGAGTCCCAAAAGAGACCTGACCATACATCCTCCATAAGCCCCGTAATGACATGGAAGCTGGGTCCTGAGTTCAGTTCCTATGCAGGGATTGTCTTTACTTTGCCCCCATAACCACTGGAAGCTCAGTCAGGAGATGAGATCAGGATGATAGCCTAGCAGGGACCAGCAGTTAGCATAATGGCTATGTCGCTGGACTCCCATGTAGTTGACTGTGGTTCGAGTCCCGGACCCGGTGGCATAAACGCATGCCAGGTGCATGTGGATGCATGCCCAAGATCCCGAGAGGATAAATAAATAAAACAAAGGAAAGAAGTCAGCAGAACTATATTTTGTTTTCATACCACAAAAGTAAGATTAGTCAATAATATAGGAGAAACTTGATTAAATGGAACTGAGGGTCCAACTAAAGCTGGATTGAAAATTCCTTTTTTTTTTTTTTTTTTTTGTTTTTTTCGCGGGTCCAACTAAAGCTGGATTGAAAATTCCTTTTTTTTTTTTTTTTTCATTTTTGGCCAGAGGGCACATGCACTGGGTGTGTGTGTGTTGGGGTGGGGGGAATTGAGAACACACCCCTCCTACGAGGAGTGGTCACACCACAATCCTTTCTCTTCCATTTCTCCTTTTGGGATCTCGGCCATGCATGCACAAGGAAGGGTTCAGCATGTTTCTCAAGCCACCAGGACCAGAACTCAATCTGTGCAGTTGGCCATGCGGGGGATCCAGCTGCCTTAATGACCACACCACAGGCTAGCTCTGGATTGCAAGTTCTTAATCTATGGTTGCCCAGGCAATGGGTCTTTTACCTCATGGTGATAGCATTATATGAGACTCACTACAGTAATTAGTGTTTAGCTCATAGTGAAACACACCATGGTAACTAGTGTTTAATTGGCTCCACCTTAAGAGAAGATGTGAGAAGGAGCTGGGTGAGTTTTTAAGCAGCTAACAAAATGAAGTCTGTAAGGGAGAATTTGAGAGATTTATTAAGTGGAACATTTGAATATGTTGCTCTGGAGTGTTTCTGGGTGTAGAGCATCTGTTGACATAGAGGCTGGTGCAGAGAACCACCCAGGAGCATGTTCTTATTGCCTCACTCATTCCACCTGATGGCATTGCTCTCTGAAAGCAGAGAAAGGCAGAAGCTCATTCTTCAAATAACCTGTGTTGTTTTAGAATAGACACTACTACAGTAGCCTGCTACTTTGATCAACCTCCCTACTTCAGGAGATTAGGGCAGACAAGAAAACAAGGTGTCAACAACTTGGCACAAGCAGGGTTTAAGCTACTCTCTCTGGAGACTTCAGTAACAGAACTCAACTTTCCACTCTGACCTGGGCCCTCTCGGCTCAACAGTGAGCATGCAAGCACTAACATGTGGATTAATTATCTGAGAATGATCATGTTTTATTGCTGTTTTTATTGGTCATTTCTCTTCTCTGGTTTCCAGGTCTATGAAACAATTGGACTTAGTAGTACCACCTTGCTAGCAGAAGTGTTTCTGCCTATTCCTGAGACCACTGTTGTCACCGGAAGGGCGCCTATTGAAGAAGTGGAGTTTAGCAGTAACCAGCATGTGACACTGGACCATGAGGGAGTAGGAAGTGGTATGGAAAGCTAATTATCCTCAATGGCTTGTAGTTTCACTGTCAGAAATGAATCTTCTTTTTTCTAGTTTTCAAACAGGCAGATCATTATAAAATTGCTATTAGAAATTCAAATTAGGGGCCAACAGGTGGCATGGTGGTTAAAGTGCTGGACTCTCACATGGGTGACTACAATTTGAGTTCCAGACATGGTGGTTTGCTTTCTCACTTTCTCTCTGTCTTTTTCTCTCTGGTGAACGCACATGCCCTATAACAAATAATAATAATAATCAAATTAAATAAATGATCATTTTTAAAAGGAAATTCAAATGAAAAATAGGTTACCAAGGTATTTTTTATATACTGTCGTAAAGTAGTTTGGCAGTGTGAATTTAGAACTTAACTTTAAATCCCCTTTAATGCCTTAATGATACTACTAGGAATCTTTCCTAAGAAAATAATTTGAATTCAGGATAAAGCTTTGTGCAAAAAAGATATATGTCACATTGTTATTTATAAGGCTAAAAAGGTTGTAATAGCTTAAATAATTATAATAGGGAGACTATTCATTAGTATTTTCTTTCTTATTCATTCATATTATTCAAGTATTATTATTCAAAATGTTCATTAATATTTATCTCTTTCTCCATTTCTGATTAGATATATGATAGACCTTTTCACTCTGTCTTTCTTCTTTCTTTTTTTTCCTTTCTTTTTTTTTTTTTTTTGAGAGGTTTTTGCTATAGGGCGTGTGCGCTCACCAGACAGAGAGAGACAGAGAGACAGAAAGCGAGAAATCACCCCTCAGGAGGGATGGCCATGCCGCAATCCCTTCTCCTCCATTCTCCTCTTGGGATCTTGGGCACGCACGCACATGCGCCCGGTGTGAGTTTTAAGCCACCGGGTCCGGGACGCGAACCACGGTCAACTACGTGGGAGTCCAGTGACATAGCCATTACGCTAACGGCTGGTCCCACGTCTTTCTTATTTCTTAACCTTTCTTTAGTATACTTGATTTCTTTTTCTTTCACTGCTACATACTATGTAGTTTCTTCAAATCTGTCTTCCAAAACATGAATTCATTCTTTGGCTGTGTCTATTTATTGAAATTCATCATTGTGTTTTTCCTTCCAATTACTATTTTTGTAGAAATAGAGACTGTAATTAGGTATTTTCCAGTCAGTACGGATACGCTTTATCTTTTTCTTAGGTTCTTGATTACTTCCTTTTTTTATTCATTAATTCACTCATTTAAGGATGTTAAAAATATTTTTAATATTCTCTATCTGATCATTACAATATCAATCTGCTTATTATTCATGGTGACTTATTTTTTCATGTGCCTGGTGATTTTTTTTATTTTTTATTTTTTATTTTTTATTGATTTTTTAACTGGAGCTTTATCCACAAAAATTCTTTGAGGCATAAATCCAATTACTAGTCTAAAAGTGTGGCTACCTAGGTATTAGTTCCAGCTTAGAACCTGACAGGCTATGTGACTGGACTACTCATGTAACCTCTTTAAATATATTCTTCATTCATAAAATGTATCTAACATTACTTTCTTTAATGTCTTATAGGGTTAGTTTGAAGATCAAGACGGGATATTCAATCTGAAGGGAAGATCTTTGAAAAACAGATGTTAAAACACTTTAATAATGCTTGTTTTATGTTAACAGTAATAACTAGAAATACAAACTGATATACTATATTTAGTGCTTAAAATCTTTTTTCTTTAGTTGATTAAATATGCCGCCAAGACAATGTTTAATCATTAAATTCCAGTTAGCAGAGGCTAAATCAGTGAAGCGTCACTGTATCATAGTAGCACAAGAATAGCTATCACTGTTGCATGCCCACCATTTCCCAGGCACTAAGTGCTTTGCAAGTATAAATTTATTTCAGTTGTTGTTCCTCACTCCCCTCAGGGTTCTTAACACTCGTTTCTTCTGCCAAGAATGCTCTTTCTCAGATCTCTCACTTCCTCACTTTCTTCATGTTTTCATAAGTCACCGTTAGGCTTCCTTGTCACTTCGCATAAAAGTTTGCCTTCCCACTCCCTAAAACATAAATTTTCTATATGCCTTGTTTAATTGATTTCTTGTTATCAGTGATCACTCTTTAACATACTAAGTATTTCTCTTACTTATTGCCTCTCTCCCCTAGACAAATATAAAGTTCATAAGTACAGGGATTCTTGTTTTGTTTTGGTTTTTAACACAAAGATTATCAGTTTTGTTTCTTCACTACTGTCTTCATTGCCTACAATAATTATTTCCTGGCACAAATAGGAACTCAAGTATCACAAATTAATGAATAATAAGTATCTTCAAAATAATTCTTTGAAGGAGGTGTTGTTATCTTTAAATTACACATAAAGAAAATTAACTCTGGGTGAAGTTATAAGCAGTTTATCTATGCTCAAACAGCCATGAAGTGGCAAAGACAATATGCTCACAGGTGATCCTACTTAAAAGTGCATCATGGTAATTTCTACCCTCTGCTATTTGATATAAAGCCAAAATACTGCTTGCAAGCGTCATTACCAAAGAAAACTGTGAAGTTGGATTGAATCATGTGTTCCATCCCTACCACCATACCCAGTCCAAGTTCCGTTTGTCTACTACCTGCTTTCTTGTCAGAATGGGGCCACTTCCTCTTTCTTTTTTTTATTTTTTAATTTTTTTGGAGAGGTTTTTGCTATAGGGCGCATGTACTCACCAGAAAGACAAAGAGAGACCAGAAGACAGAAAGCAAGAAATCACCCCCCCCCCCCAGTGGGGAGGGCCACCCCACAATCCCTCCTCCGTTCTCCCCTTTGGGGACGCATGCACATGTGCCCAGCGTGAGTTTAAGCCACTAGGCCTAGGACTTGAACTGCAGTCGACTACAAGGGAGTCCAGAAACATAGCCATTATGCCAACTGCTGGACCTAGGCCACGTCTTCTTTCTAAACATCCCGTTTAATCTCGTATTTCCCTAGGAGTGCCCTTCTCATTTGAAGCTGATGGCAGTAATCAACTGATCCTAATGACTTCAGGGAAAGTGTCCCACAGTGTGGCATGGGCTATTGGAGAAAATGGAATACCTCTAATTCCTCCATTGTCACAGCAGAGCATTGGATTTCGGAGGTAATGTGTGGCTATGACAAATCAATATACAATGTTGGCATTGGTATTAAAGATACCCAGGGACGGAGACCAGCAGATGGCATGGTGGTTAAGGCATTGGACACTCCCACAGGGCCAACACGGTTTGAATCCTGGACCTAGTGACTTGTTTTCTCTCTATCCCTCTTTCTCTCTCTGTGTGTGTGTGTGTGTGTGTGTGTGTGTGTGTGTGTGTCTTAAAATAAATGAATGACTAAATAAAATTAAATAAAAAATAATTCTTTTTAAAAAGATATCTGGGGAAAACATTTATAGTATTATCTTTTTATAAGACGTTTTCAAAAAGTTCATGGAAAATATGTATTATGAATAAACTATGTATAGATTTTGATTTCTTTTTTGCACCAAAACAAACTTTTATTTTAATTCTATTTTCCACAAACTTTTTGAAGTTCACTTGTACTGTCAGGTTCCAATATTTCCAGGGTTTTTTTTTTTAATTGTTCTGAAAGTTAAAACTAAAATATTAATAGCCTAACAAATATTGGGTATTTTTCAGAGGTGACACAGTGAAAAGCACTTTATTTAACTCTATAAGGTATTCTTGTCCCCATTTCACAGCGTGTGCTCGTATACATTTGGCACTCGGTAAAAGTGCATTGCCTTTGATAAATGGTGTGGAGCTTTCTGGTTATATGAGAATTCCTATTCTCTAGTCCCTTTCTTTGATTGCTACATCCTTAGGTCTCTACTAAGAGCAGAAGAAAGGAACCCTGGGCCTTGCCGACTTAGCCCTTGGTCACCTTCTGTAGTTGACGCCTGACCAGGGGCCTGGACTGTGAGAGCCCATGGCCTGGGTCTTCTGTTACTCTCACACACGCCTTGAGTCAGTCATTTCACATTCGAGGCCTCAGCTGCCTCGTCTCTAAAATAAAGAGATTTATCCTAGTCATCAAGAAGATACTTTCAAAGCCACAGAAAAAAAGAACAAAGCTTGTTCTATTTCCTTGTTGTCCTCTCCATCCCCATAACCACCATGTCCACGTCCGTGGGGTAGAAACCATGAGATGCTCTCTGCACTTTCTAAGTCAGGAGGGATCTTAAAGGAAGGTCAGTTGTGCCTTTGAATATAAGCATTTTACACTCATTTCACTTGAGTTCAAGTGCTGGGGGATCTCCTGGATAATAAACACTTCCGGCTCCATGGGAGGAGTTATACATGAGTAACAAGATAGGTAGAACTATTTCTTTCTTTCTTTTTTTTTTTTTTTTGGAGAGGTTTTCACTATAGGGCGCGTGCGCGTGCCAGACAGACAGAGACATAGAGACAGAAAGTGAGAAGTCACCTCCGGGGGGGATGGTCATGCTGCAATCCCCTCTCCTCCATTCTCCTCTCAGGATCTTGGGCACGCACACGCGCCCGGCATGAGTTTTAAGCCACCGGGTCTGGGATGCGAACCGCGGTCGACTATGTGGGAGCCCAGCGACATAGCCATTATGCTAACTGCTGGTTCCTGAACTATTTCTTTTTTAAAAAGTTTATTTGGGGCCAGGAGGTGGTGTGGTGGTGAAGGCACTGAAACTCCTGCAGCTCAAGTCCCAAACCTGGCAGCTTAGAAAATCACATTGGACACGAGTATGTGTGGTCAAAGTCCCAGGAAGAGAATGAATGAGAAGGGACTGCAGCGTGGCCATACCCCTGAAGGATGATTTCTCACTTTCCCTCTCCCCTCTCATTGTATCTGTTTCTCCAGCGAGTGCATGCACCTTATGGCAGAAACCTTTTTTTAAAAATGTTTTTATTTCTTCCATGAGAGCACAAGACAGGCATCCCCAACAGGGTCTTCACGCTGCCACCCACTCCCAGTCTCAGCCAGGACCACAGGGCTGCGGCCCAGCATGCATACAGAGGTCTCAGGACATGAACCTCTGTCCCTCCTCTATGCTTCCAGCATCATGGAGCATTGCATTACCACGGCGCCGTGGTGGCTGGCCGGCAGAGCTGTTAATAAAGCTCCAATGCAACCATGCGCCCAACTTGGCGGCCTCTGAAATTACAGTCAAAGCTGGTGCTTAAGCTTGTTTCCTAAGAGAGGTTTTTTCATTGTTCTTGTTTTTTGTTTTCTTTTTGGTTTGGTCTCAGCTCAGTGCGCCCCTGTGACCTGGGATGTGAGGCATTCTTGGCTTCTCACATCAGATGCAGACGCTTCCTTTGACTGGCCAGGATCCAGGGATGGGGTTGGGGGTGCTTCTAGGCCTTGGGCAGTGTTATAAGAGTCAGTCACGTCTGCATTTCTACCATTCGTATTTCTTTGTTGTCCTTATAACATATTGAAAAGCAACCAAATAAAGAAAATTTGCAAAAGTCCCTTATGATAAGATTTTCTCTTGAGAGGATAAAAACTTCCTTAAGCAATGTTGTCCCGGGGAGGTGATTCTGGTGCAGACTGTCCTGTCAGTTTGTTGAGTCAATTTCTCTTTCAGTGCTTTGAAGAGAGCAGATGCCATCTCATCTGTTGGGACATCAGGACTAGCAGACATGAAAAAGTTGGCCAAGTGGGCAGCAGAGTCCAAGCTCGACCCGAATGACCCCAACAACGCCCCTTTGATGCAGCTAATCCTGGTAATGTGTTGAGAGGCATGCACACGTGTGTGTGCCTGGTGTGGTGATAGAAATGACTGCGCCTGTCCCCACACTTGCTTGCACACTACCCTCCCCTGTGTGATAACTGCTGGGTGTAACAGGCTTCCATCCAGCTCTGCTGACCTGGCTGTAGGGTCAGGCAAGCACTCAGTGCTCTGAGCCTGTCCTGTCCTCCTGGTGTGGCCAAGAGCAAATGCTCATGAGAGCACTCAGCCGGGCACACAGTCGGGGTGTGGTCAATACGAGCTGTTACTGTTTTTACTTCTACTTCCAGCGTCTGTAAAGCCCGAGGAAGGGTTTTATTTTCCCCATCCTGTAGAGAAGATTCTGTGTTCCTTGTTGATCGGATTTCAGAGCTCTTGCTCTTTCCACCAAACCCATCGGACGCTTTAAGAAACCTTGGTTTTGTTTATGATAATTAGGTTATTATTTAGGTTTTATTTAAGTATTTTACTCATATACAACATAACATTCAAAATTCTTTCTTCAGTGAATTTATTAATAAAATGGAACATTAGTTTAGTAAATTAGTTCTCTTGGCATCAAATACAGTTGGTTTTACTTCCAACTTTATAATACATATAAAAACATAATAAACAAGCAGTTCATCCAGAGGGTGTCCGTAGGAACACATTCTTAGGATCTTCGTTATTAGTATGAGCTCATCAGTAGGATCATTATAACCAGTTAGGAAAATTTTCATTTCACATCTAGTCTCTAAGTCCCCAAATCAGCTTTTGGTTCATTCTGATCTTTGACTTTATAAGCTCTCCTCCCAACATGACACTTTTTAATATGGATAATAGAACTATTAGGAACATTGGGGCCTATAACCTTAAGTGTGATCTAGCCCAGGTAACGTTTTCAAATTGCATTTCACGTACCATCTTTAAATCAGCAGTAATAGAGCACACAGATTACATTCATTGTTTGCTTTTTAACTATTCGTTTTCCCTCAGAAGAATAAAATGCAGGGACTGCCCGCCTGACTGATCTCTTGTTATAGACCAGGATGTTTGTGGCAAGATAACTTTTCCCATCACAAGACCCCATGGAATCTCTGCTCACTGACTTTGCCTCTGCCCAGGTGTAGCTCACAGCTGGCAGAGCAGCAAGCAGAGAAACAGGCGCTCCCACCGCTCAGCTGCTCGGGGTGTCCTGCAGCGCCCCCTTCTGTGCTGATGGATGGAAAAGGCCCTAGGCGTTAACGTGACTGGATCCATCTCTGGCTCACTTTTCTCATTGACCAAGTCCATGAGGTGCTGTGATTCGGAGACAGTAAAACATGGCCAGGGCTCTGGATGCAGTTGGCCAGCTAATTCATATGTACATAATATGTTGAAAAGTCCTGTATGTATTTGATTTTATGTTAGCTGTGTATATGAGTAATCTCATTTCTAGAAGGCATAGTATACGGGGCTCTGATGGAAACCTCTCCCTTTTTTAGTCTGTATATGTGGGTACTTCAAAAAGTTCATAGAGAAAGTGGAGTTAAAGCACACATTTATTTTGGTACAAATTTTTTTGTGTGTGTGTGAGAGGTTTTTGCTACAGGGCACGTGTGCTCGCCAGACAGACGGAGAGAGCCATAGAGACAGAAAGCGGGAAATCACCTCCCAGGGGAATGGCCATGCCGCAATCCCTTCTCCTCCATTCTCCTCTCGGGATCTTGGGCACGCGCGTACATGCACCCGGCGTGAGTTTAAGCCACTGGATCCGGGACTCAAATCGCAGTCGACTACATGGGAGTCCAGTGAAATAACCATTACACTAACTGCTGGTTCCCATGTACAAAATATTTTGAACACCATGCATAGATTTTTCATAATATGGGTTTCCCATGGACTTCTTGAAAACACCCCTTGTATTTGCTTGCTAACACTATTAGGAAAGCATGTACGCCAAAAGTGAAACTGATAATTTTTTTTGGAAAAATGATTTGTGAGTTTTTCGTTTGCTTGTTTTTTAGCCACTGAACGAGTATATCATCTGCCTTGTTACGTCATGTTTTAGTGTATTTAGTATTTCAAGTCTTCATTCTGAAGCGCTGATAAATATTCCCAAAGGTTGAGTGCTAGGTTCCTCTGGGTGAACTTTGCCTGTCATTTGGAATTTTGCATTTTCTATTTCTTATAGATTGCAACCAGTGGTGAATCCTATGTCCCTGATTTCTTTCGACTGGAACAGCTGCAACAGGAATTTAACTTTATTTCAGACGAGGAATTAAATAGATCCAAACGATTCAGGCTTCTTCGTCTTCGAAGCCAAGAGGTGCCAGAGTTTCGGAATTATAAGCAAATTCCAGTATATGACCGAGAAATTATGGAAAAGGTATTCCAGGTAGGAAATTGCTTTCCAAGGGCTAATTAATAATAAAATGCCTGCTGTGCCACGTGGTATACTATCATATACTATTTGTTGTTACATCCTCAGTAGCAATATTGTTTTCCCTTTCATAGAACTTTTTGTATTTAATTTTTTATTACATTAAATCACCGTACATCTTTTTTTTTTTTTTTGAGAGGCTTTTGCTATAGGGCGTGTGCACTCACCAGAAAGACAGAGAGAGACAGAGAGACAGAAAGTGAGAAATCACTCCCCAGGGGGGGATGGCCATGCCACAATCCCTTCTCCTCCATTCTCCTCTCGAGATCTTGGGCATGCACGCACACGTGCTCAGTGTGAGTTTAAGCCACCGGGTCCGGGACTCAAACCGCAGTCGGCTACATGGGAGTTCAGCGACATAGCCATTACGCTAACTGCTGTTCCCAATCACTGTACCTCTTTACAGTATACAAAATAGTTTTTCTACAGACAAGCAGATGACATAATTATTATGTCACTGGATTCCCATGTAGTCGACCGTGGTTATAAGTGCCGGACCTGGTGGCTTAACAGTGACACCGGGTGCATATGTATGCATGCCCACAATCCCGAGAGGAGAATGGAGGAGAAGGGATTGTGGCATGGCCATCCCCTCTGGAGGGTGATTTCTCTCCTTCTGTCTTTGTCTCTCTCTTTGTCTCTGGTGAGCACACATGCCCTATAGAAAAAAAAAAAAAAATCTCTCTTATAAAAAAGAAAAAAAGTTTTTCCTGGCATGAATATAGTACATATCAGTCATGTCAAAGATTTTACCATATACATTATTATCACAGAAAACTTTTCATTTTTAAGTCTGCTAAACGCTTTCTCCTTCCCTGATGGCCTTTGCCCCACCCCGATCACACGTTCTCTCCTATACTCTCTCGTAACTGCAGTTGACCCCCTTGTATTATAACTTCCTGTCCCTAGTTTCTGACACAGAGTGCAGACATTGATATACGTCGGGAGGGGACATACAATGCCTCTCCTTTATAGCTTCTCTTGCTTTGTTTAGGATTAAATCTGTATTTGTCCACTTTGTATCAAATGTCAAGGTCTCATTGTTTTTTATGGCCGAGCAGTATTCCACATTTTTTTCAATCCATTCATCTGTTCTTGGACATTTGGGTTAATTCCATGTCTAAGCAACTGTCAATGATGCTGGGATGGACATAGTTTTATTGACAGAAAAAGGAAGAAGATCGAGCAAAGCCACAATTACCAAGTACCCTTTTCCAAGCAGGTGACCCTGTCACTGCAGGAGACTGTTATATATGCCCACAGTACTGTTTTAGCTGGAGTTTTCTATTACTTTGTATAATTGCTTTATTTTAAAAGGAAAAGGTAAAACTTAAGCAGGGCCTTTGGCCAAGTTGCTTGTGTGAGCATCTTGAATTCTAACATCTTTGTTCGTTATCTTCCTTGGCTTCTGTTCCTGCAAGAACATTGTAACTTATTTGCTGACTAGGATACAGAATTCTTTTGTATTTGTAAGGTAGTTCAGCCAGCAGACTCAGAATCCTCATTATTGCATCAAAGATCAACTGTGAATCAAAAGTTAGGAAGAAACATTCAGAAGGATAATTTGATTTCAACCATGTGTGAAAAATAATTCCCTAATCTCAAGAAGAGCAGCAGAGAGTACTTTAAAATCATAAAATTACCTCCTTTTAATTTTAGGACTACGAGAAACGGTTACGAGACAGAAATGTAATTGAAACCAAGGACAATATTGATGCCCATAGGGCCATAGTAGCCAAGTACCTCCAGCAGGTAAGAAAAATTGTTTACAGCAGTCTCCAGAAGAGGAAAGGACAAAGAAAGTTCTCTACTCTTAGATATGCAATCTCTCTTTTTTTTTTTTTTTTTTT